GCACGGCGCGTGACATCGAGCTCTCGCTGATCCATGGCGATGCGACGCCCGCTGAGGCCGTGCGCAAGGACACGGGCCAACTGCCCTGGGCGACGAAGGTGGACAACCGCTGCTGGAACGTGCGCGGCCGGGACCTGCTGTGGCAGCCGTTCTCGGGCCTCGTGCAGCAGGCCGACGCGATCGTGCTGATGCAGGAGAGCCGCCTCCTGTCCAACTACCCTTACCTCTTTGGCTGGGGGCCGCGCAGCGCACGCGTCGCCTACTGGGGCCATGGGCGCAACTTCCAGAGCGAGGCCCCGTCGGGGCTGCGTGAGCGCTGGAAGCAGCGCATGCTGACCTCGGTGGACTGGTGGTTTGCCTACACCGACATGACGGCCGACATCGTGCGTGATGCCGGCTTCCCGGATGAGCGCATCACGGTGTTGAACAACGCGATCGACAACCAGGGTTTCGAGGCCGACCTGGCGTCCATCCCGGATGGCGAGGTGCAGGCGCTGCGGGCCTCCATTGGTGCCGTGGATGGCGCTTGCGTGGGTCTGTACTGCGGCTCTCTCTATCCCGACAAGCGCCTGGACATCATGATCGAGGCCTGCGAGCAGGTCGTCGCCCGTCATCCCGAGTTCCGTCTCGTCATCATCGGGGACGGCCCGAGCCGGCCTGACCTGCAGCGGATCATGGACAAGCCTTGGTTCCACTGGGCCGGCATGCGGCGTGGTCGCGAGAAGGCGGCTTGGTTCCGGGCGTCTCAGCTGTTCCTGAACCCGGGCTTGGTGGGGCTGCACATCCTGGACAGTTTTGTCGCCGGTGTGCCCATGATCACGACGCGCGATGCCAAGCACAGCCCTGAGGTGGTCTACCTTGAGGACGGCGTGAATGGGGTGGTCACCGACGGCAATGCGCGCAGCTTTGCCGAGGCCGTCGAGCGGCTCGTGGTGGACGTGCCCCAGCGCGAAGCGCTCGCTGCGCAAGCGCGCGTGGCGGCGCGCAGCTACACGCTGGACGCGATGGTCCAGCGCTTTGCTGATGGGCTGGCCGCCTGCGTGGCGGCCCCCCGCCTGCGCTGATCAGAGCGCGCGGATGCTCGTGCTGAACGTGGTGTCCGTGCCGCTCGTCTC